GGCCGCCGGGTTGACCAATCGATATTTTCCCAGTTCACAGTAGGAGGAAACATTTTGTAGTCCCTTTGCATAAAGAATCCCTGTTCAACCACAAAACACAATTATTATATCCATCTCAGGAGTCACAAGCATTAAGAGCAGGCCACGCAATTGGAACTGGGAAAACCAACCTGGCATTCGTTTTCGATTATGTTGATGGAACTCAGCCATTTGACAGAACGCGCACCTATAACACCCGGAACAACTACACGCAGCGGATATCCGTGATCCCGGTTTAGAGGCTTTAAGATAGCAACATGGTCGGAGAGTATAAGAACAATTCAAGAAATTTGATCCAAAAGAAAAAGAGTTTCACACAAGCTATTCCTTTACCTCTCCATTCATTTCATATGCTAGTAAAACTTCAGCATCCGAGTTTGTTGCTTGAATCAACGGTATTGACGCCTTGTAGGGTCCTCCTTTTTCCTCCTTAAGAAATCATTGTACCATATAAAACATTCCCGAGTAAAGCGATTAACATGTCGCACAAAAATTGAAGCTCACCTTGCACATGTCAACGCTTACAAACTCAACGTGCTTTCCTCCCAACGGGGAAACTGATGCTAACTTAGCGATTCCCACAAGTTGGAGAACATCAGCGAGTTTAGCCCCACCCCAAACGGCTGAAAGAAGACATAAGACAAACAAACACGATGAAGTTTAAACACTCGCATTTTAACAGTGAAAGAAATTAATGACAGATAGTAGCAAATTTACCGTTTCCAATGGCAGAAACGTCCCAGCCAACGCCTTTCACTGTTTTCACTTTGCTCATTGCAGTCCTTCTGTTACCTGCACACTGCTTAGCTTGAAACAAACCAAATCGAATTACTATCGAGCTGCTGTAACTAAATTATACAATGTTCAGCATCACAGTTAACAAACTTACTTGTAGAGTGGCTGTCACAACGTGCTTCGGCAGATTCCTGTTTTCGCAAAACCGAAATGTTACTGTTTAAGCAGATTAACTAATGATTAGGTCTCCCTCCGATATACTAAGTACTTACACAATGTCAGCCATTGATATCTCCAAGGGTTTCTCCACCAAACCGCATATAGACAATCGATACCTGCTCCGCCAAATATATTGTAGCCGTCAATGAACGGGTTCTTCACAAACAAGCCCGCAAAAACTCCATTGCCGTAGTCAATAACACCCAAAACACCGTTTTGAAGAACAATAGAAACTTTGAACCCAATTGTTGTTGCAACAAACATGAACAGTTGACGTCTTTCTCTTTAGTTCGATTCTCGAAGTATTTCTCACTAAGTCGTCACGAGGACTACACTAATTAAGTAATATAAAAGGGCATAACATTGCTTTGGAGGAGACAATTGAAGATTCATGAAATTGAACAAAAGAGTAAAGAAAAAATTGGTTTGAAGTCTTTTCTCCTCCTAATCTATTCTAAAATACGAAGAGTGAGAATCAAACTCGAGCTTTGAGAAGAGCACATTGCTACAGTCAACTTAGCAAACTTATGTTTTTTGAAATTATTAGGCTTTTTTGCCAAAATGATCCATGAGATTTGCGTAACTCATCATTTTGTTCCCTAAGATTTGAAATCAATAGAAGTGATCTTTGAGATTGTCCACCATTAATCATTTTGAACCTTCGGTGAAAAATTATGTTAAATAAGGATCAAAATGACAAAATTACCTTCAATATAATCAACAATAGCCAAACTGATTTAACAAAAATTGATGGTATTTTTGTCATTTTATTCTTATTTTATGGAGATTTTTCATTGAAGAACCAAAATGATTGATTGTGAATAAACTCAGGGACCAATTCTATCGATTTCAAATCTTAGGGACCAAAGTGAGAAGTTAAACAAATATCAGAGATTATTTTGACTAAAAAGCCAAATTATTATAAATAAATTATTCTAAAAATGGTAAGATGTTTTTAACCTTTCAATGTCATCCACGACAGGGATAGGGCCATGGTTTCGTTTGTAGAACAAATCCACCGGTGTCACGTACGACTCTATTAACGCCGCACGTGGTGGTTCTGCATTAAAAGGTTCCTGCACGACGCAAAACAGATACATAGACAAGAAAATGGATAAATAAAATAATGACATTAATATTCATGTGATGACCCGACCTGGGAATTAACAAGGAGACTTGGATGACGAGGTGGCTCCGCAGAATAATCAGAAGGGGCTCTTAGACCTGACATTTTACTTACAAATGCAACGAACAGGAAACACAGAGAAAAGCAGGGGGTTTTGTTTCGTTAAAGTTAACCAAATGCTGAAAATAAAAGAGACCACAAGTTTGAAGTTTCTATTTATATGTGGTGGTGGTGGCGGCGGCGCTTGTGAGGTTCTTATACTTTAGATATTTAATTGTTAGATTGTAATAACACATTCTTAATTTTACGATTTTATCAATTTTTAAAGTGTGAATTGACAAAAATGCCCTTAGAGGCGAGATTGATCTTCGTTGGCCGTCGTATCATAACACGTATGAACCATTCTCAGCATATTATCATAGTACTCGTCACTACGAACGCGTGGGCGCAAGCATAATTGAAATTAGAGTTACGACGAAGATTTTACGAAACTACTAATCCAAAAGATATTTTTGTAAAATTACTATTTTAATTATTTTATTATTTTGAGGCCCACTCATCTTTGTTTTTCGCCTCTCCAGGTTTTAGTGGCCAAGCTTTCGTGTCGACGAGGATTATTGGCAAATGTTGGTATAGGAGAGTACCTTCGATGGTATAATTCTTATCCTACTTTTACTGTACTGTACTTATGCTCTGACATTACGTGTGAATTGGGTTCAATCCCGCTCACATGCGCACTCTTGCATTTAGTCACTTATAGGTTTAAATTTACTCACGTTTTCCACATCACTACATTTTATGACTTCATCACCTTCTTGGTGTTGGCCAACACAGCTCGATTCGGAGTCTAGTTGGATATTCCGGGTCGAGGTATGCCATAAATTGTGGTCAAAGATACGATGACTAGAATTTAACGGTTAAAAATTCAAGATAATAGATACATGGAGCACAAAAGAAATTTTGCATATTCAGTGCTGATTTGGTTCGATCGGTTTTTTAACGTTCAGATTATTTTTTGCCCATAGCATGTTGGCTCGGGCCTTTATTAATGGGGAGCAGAAAGCAACATGTATGGTACGCTAAACTACATGATGATGTCTCGTGTGGTCGTGTGGTGTCAATTTGACTTTTAGAGTATGTTGTATTTTCATGTTCGGACAAAGATGATGACTTGTGGTGAAGATGCACCTGGATGTTATTTGGGATAATCTTAGTGTTTTTTTTTTTTTGGGGGGGGGGGGGGGCGGGAGGGTGGGTGGTGGTGAGGGGATGGTGGGGTTGGTTGTTGTGTGTGGTTTGGTGTACCACTAACACTAAATTCCGCAACCCAACTATAATATTCATGCGAGTAATCTCCATTGATAGGCTAACGGCACAATCAGATCAGTACCCATTAAGTTATTCCTCCATTAAAGTACCCAACTTCCTCAATAAGTTTTCAAGTTGCAATGGTCCCTATCAACAAAGTAAAGTAGACATGGAGAACGGTTTCGAAGAAAAGTTGGATGGATTAATGGCTAATGATGATGGATGGTAACTGCAAATAAAATAGTATAGGTGACAAGGCACTGTTATGTGATATTATTAAGACACTCGTAATACCATTATCTTAATAGAATTTTATATATTGACTTGAATTTTTTAATGACCATTTAATAAATGTTGATATCTCAATTTTATTCTGTGATGGGAGTACCTATTAACAACCCAATGAGTTAATTTGCCACCTTTAATCGTTGATGAAGGAGATAAGAGTAAGGGTGATTAGATTGTGGTTGCAGCCTAGTGTTGGGGTGATGGAGGAGTGGGGGTGGGTACGGTCTTGATGAGGTGGTGATAATGGTGGTAAAGCTAGTGGTCATGGTGGGGGTGGCGGCCATAAGATAGTCGTAGAAGGTTATGGTAGTTGTAAAGATGGTGGTGACGATGGGTAAGGTATATAAGATGGTGGTAGTAGAGATGGCAGTCGTGGTAGTAGAGATGGCAGTCATGGTAGTGATGACATTGGCGAGTGATCGTAAGAGGTTATGGTACGATGGTGGTGGTATTGATAAGGTGATGGTGGGGGTGATAGGGTCATGGTGATGGTCATGGCTAGATGATAGTAGTTGTGGTGGTGTAGTGGCGGTGAGGTGACATTGTTGGCAGTAGAGGTAACATAGATGCTCATGGTGGTGGTGGTAGCCAGAGATAATCATTGTATTAATTATGATGAGTGGTGGAATATATTAGAAGTGGGAAAAGTAAAATTCAGCAAAACCTTATGGGTGGTGATTGGATTCACAATTACAAAATATTTATTATAAAGCACTCAAAGTTTATAAAATCCTTTAAAATCAACGAATTTTTTAATACACATATATCTATGTGAGACTCACAAAAATCTTAATTGAATACCACAAAATTATATTGTATACGCTTGAATTTGAGAGTCAAACAGAACTCTATGAAGTCCATCAAATTTTATATACAATAAGAGCTCCAAAATTCATGATAAAAATCTTACAAACTTCGTTAAGATCTACGTAAAATTCAAATCAAATCCACATGAACTTATTAAAGGCAACTAAACTCCCTCAAAATCTTTATGTTCATAACTCTGTGAAAATCCATTGAACGTTATATACAATGCACCCCTTAATAATTATCTTTTATTTACTAATATTATATCATAAACGTTAAACCAAAACACTGTTCAACAATAAACTTGTTACATATAAATCATTCTCCACTGAACCATAAATGTAAAACAGCCCAACCAGCCACACGGCCCACACCTATCAAATAAAAAGTGAAGCCCAGTCCAAAAGTCTGGCACGACCTTTCCTTTTAGGCCATGTTATTGCCGCGTACCCCTTTACTCCCAAATTCCCAATATAAAACACACAATGCACCCAACTGCTTATTTCACAGAAAATTAGAAATTGAAGAAAATAAACATTTGCTCTTTTGTTGTTCACTCAGCCATGGCAGACGACAGACCGGAGAAGATAATCCTCAAAACCCCAGCACTTCTCAAGGTACACTCTCGTTTTCTTTTCCCTAATGTGACCCGTCACTTCTACGGATCATATGTGCTTTTTATAAAAGAGAGATTTATATTAAACTAGACCGTCATAATAACGTTCTTCCAAACTTATCAGGCATTTTAATTTTCTTACACGGTATCCCATGATTAGTTTGTAACACCACCGTCTTGACCTCCTGTTTCATATGAGTGATTTTCTATCCCTAGTTATTGCCTAGTTCTTTCTCGTTTTCCAGATTTCTTTCTTTTAGATTCGGATTGGAGTTTTCAACATTTTCGTTCTAATTTTTTTTAATAAAAATTTCTCGTACCGTGGAAATAAGAAATAAAAAAAATCAACATTTATAATCTTTAGTCTTTTCAGCTAAAAGTGAGATACTTTTTTATTATTAAATTTTTCAATGAGGGAATCAGATTCTTTTTTTTTTTTTTTTAATTATGAGATGGCCATATATCATGATGAACAAGTATATCATGCATGATGTACAAGTGTCCCTGTTTATACGTTCAGTTACAACTCAGAAGCTGCGTGATGCACAAATGTCTATCTTCTGCATTAAACTATTTCCTTTGTCATTTTTTTTTTTTTAAGAAAACAGTTTGGAATGACGAGTTTGCAATCAATTCGAAAATATATCGTTGTATCAAAAATTCTTGAAATTCAGGCTTACGTGTCCGCATTTTGTTGTTGTTGAAATATTTACAAACTAAAGGAACAGAATGTGCTAATTATATTTTGCGTTAATTAATGGTCTTATCCTCAAACAACGCAGTCAATTAACGGCCTTAATTTCTGATATTACAGTACATCTTCGAAACAAGCTGCTTTCCAAGAGAACACGAGCAACTGAAGCAACTAAGGGAGGCCACCATCGAGAAATATGCGGTCTGGTAGGGTTTGATATTTGTAGTTCTCTTTTTCCATCGTACTGGGCTTAAATCCCCGCCAAGGTTTTAAGGAGGCCACATTTTGCACCCAATCCTATTGTACGCTTCTTCATAAATGAATATAATTACTTGAGCCTGAAGGATTACATTTCGAACACGCAGGAGTCTTATGAATGTGCCTGTAGATGAAGGTCTGCTTCTATCGATGCTTCTGAAGGTGATGAATGCCAAGAAGACGTTGGAGCTCGGTGTCTTCACTGGTTATTCTCTTCTCACTACTGCTCTTGCACTGCCTGCTGATGGCAAAGTATGTAATACTCGTTTATTAATATTATTCATGTTTTTTTTTTTTAATTTTCTTTGAAATAGTTAGATTAATTTCATCCTTTTACGTGTAGTAGCTAGCTAGATTAATATTTCAAATTTCAGATAACAGCAATCGATGTAGATAAAGAAGCCTATGACGTTGGACTGCCATTTATTCAGAAGGCTGGGGTGGAACATAAGATTAACTTCTGCCAGTCAGATGCCTTCACAGTCCTAAATGATCTCATTACCAAAGTAAGTTAATGTTTGTGATTTATGTTGGGAGAAAGTAGATTAGGCCATTATAATTTATAACGCCGGGTGGCCTGTCTGCATTCGAAATTGTACTTGTGTGTGGTTGGAAGGAACCCATATACAGTGGAGCTCTTTCCTTTGGTAAAGTGCATGACCGTTAAGCTGGTCGAGCTGGCCCACCTAAGTTTGTCTCTAGATTTTAAGCAATTTTAAAAGGAGAAGGTGTGCGCGAGGCGTTTGATGGATAATCTGCCTAGGCGAAAGCCTTAAAGTTTAAGGCGAAAGTCTTAAAGCTTGAGGCGAAGCCTCAAGAGACCTAATTTTTTAATACATATTTCATACATATAAAAATATAATAGTCACAGACAAGTTTAACTCACATAACCAAGTTTAATCAAGCAATCAAATTAATCAATTTCAAACATCTACTTAAGTAAGTGCCTATTTATATGAGAGTTTTGGATAATATTTGGATGGGATAGGTAGTCTTAAAAAAAAAAAAGAAATAAGGAAAAAAATATAACGAATTTAAAAAAAAAAGAATAATCTCTACTAATTAATGAAACCCTCTTTGTCAACCAAAAAAATGTTGAAAAGACAAATCAGTCTTCTATCACACCAAAAAAAAATGATGGGCAATGATGTGATTTCACAAGTTCAAATTTTACTATTTTTTATTGAAGCCTCACATATAGTGATGTTAAAATACCTTCAATATTAAAAATAAATAAAAAAACCAAAAACAAAAACCTTCCACTCCCCCACGTTCTCTCTCTCCCTCTCTCCTTCTTATTTTCTAAAAAAATGTGTTCATACACACAAAGTGTGTAGGCAATATTAGTATAACATTAAGAAAATAATAATCCAAATAAAAAGATGTTTTCTTTTATACAGCCATCATGAGAATATTCAGGAAAATAATAAAAACAAAAACAAAACAATGCTTATGTAATATATATCTAGTATATGAGAAAATAAATATTAGAAATAAAAAGTGAAGAGAAAAGAGATAGTGAGGTAATAAATGTCTTTATAGTGGGATTACTTTTAAAAATGTGAAGATAATGGGATAATAAATGTGACAAAGTGGGGTCAGTTTAAGCATTAAAAAAAGAAACAAAAAAATTAAAAACACCAAGTTAGCCTAAAAACCTAGCTGTCTTCTTCATCTCCTTCGCTGGTGTTCATGGCCTGCAACTCAAAACAACTCTACAACGCTAAAAAATTTCCAAATTTTTGAAACTTAAAAAAGAAAAAGGGATGCCCAATCGACACCTCAGACTCCTAGGCGCGCCCCAAGAAGCCTAGGCGTGTATTTCGCCAACTCCCTTAAAACAGAGGCAAAAATGGTGCAGGCCCTGACTCAAGGCCGCCTAGGCGCGCTCCGAGCCGAGTCTTTTAAAACACTGATTTCAAGTAACAAATTGGTAAATATGAATAGCATTTGTCTTTAAAACAAAGAGAAAGCTACATTGTTATGAAGAATGTTATCTGCACTCTCAAATTAGCATGTTAAACCTCTTCTATGAGTGTTTAATAATATAATGTTGATTCTGAGTAAATAATGATGAATTTGGGATGTAATATATCATCACGATACTTAGCTTAAGTAATAAGTAGTAGTAGTTAGTATATTATTTGATTTGGAGAATTAAACGTGCAATCAATTAAGCAGGGGGAGGAAGAAGGGAGCTTTGATTTTGCATTTGTGGATGCCGACAAGGACTCCTACATGGGATATCACAAGCTGCTGATGAAGCTTGTGAAGGTTGGAGGAATCATAGCTTATGATAACACATTGTGGTTTGGGACAGTGGCGGAGCCTGAGGAGAATGTGCAAGAATTTGCAAGGAAAGGCAGAAAACATTTGCTGGAACTCAACAGCTTTCTCGCCGCGGATGACCGTCTTGAGCTAGCCGTTGTTTCCATCGGAGATGGACTCACCCTCTGCAGGCGTCTCTGTTAGCTTGCTGAGCAAGAAACAACTCTCATTTTGAAGTTTTCTAATAAATAATTAAGACAGTTTTATCTGTGGTAATTAAAATGGTTATGAACATCATCTTGGTTGCCTTCTTAATGAACTTCATTTAATCTTGGGAGATTTTCTATTCCAAATTTTAAACATAAAATTAATGTGGGTTTTATTTCATTTTGATTTTTTTTTTTAAATTGTCCATTTAGTGTTACGGTCTGATGGTATTTCTCTTCACTTGGAAGTGAGAGGTGTTAGGTTTGAATCCTATTGATGGCAAAATCGATACTAAATTAGGTTGTCCATTGTATGGTTTAATCGAACTCCTTATCCTCTTAGTATAAAAATATCGATATACTTAAAAAAATATATTTTGCTTTTATTTTTTTTGGAAACAAGGAAATTCTGTGTTAATTACATTTGGGAAATGCTTGTGATTTGCTACCGGCCACCGATTGGGGATGTGTCCGACTAACGTAATGGTTTATGGTGTGCTTAACGTGACCTTAGCATTTGGGCTTTGCTTCTACCCCGTTTTTTGAATGATCATTTTCTCCTAGCATATAAGCCCAAATGAATATCAACTTGAAAAATACCCTAAAATTTAACGTAGATACTTATTTTTGAACTTCCTTTTGTAGTACGTGATTAGTAAGATACTTAAATGATGATATATTTTCAATAATACGGTAATATCTCTTCAGAGTAAAAAAGAGTTAAATAAAACATGTTTATCATCATCGTGGCATCCCGAACCACTAATACAAGGTCATGTATAAGACTCTCAACATGACCTTATAAAAATGGTCCGCGACGTCACAATAATTGTAGACCTGTTTCATTTAAGTTCTTTCCTAGAATAGAGATCGTAATGTGCTATTTTGTAGGTTTTCCCACTTACTTGTCAACCGCAAAGAAAACCAATTCTCATGTGGAGTAGAACAAAATACTCCTCAAGTTTGATTTCCCAAACTCTCGTGGTTGAAAGCTGACAAGTCCAGTTTGCGTAATATGAAGAGAGATTGGGTTGCTCAACTTTTCTTTTTCTTTCCTTCTTGGCAGATCTTGAGCTCGGTTTCAATTTCTACTTTATGTCTCCTTTGGGTGACAGCCACAGCCACTCTTGGTATCTTATCCTCTTTACAAGCCAACAGACTGTCACATTATGATTTTGCTAATTAGCTCTAAGTGTGGTGCTAATCATCTTATTAAGATTTTAATCCCACACCTAATGCAGGTTAGTGAAGTTGCATTTTCTCATCCACATTTTATTAGAGAGACAAATGTTATTAGTGTGATTATTAATGAATCAACCACAACCAACTAGCAATTAATAGCTTGTTTGGATGTACTTTTAAACTAACTGAAAGCGCTTTTAGAAAAAATAGTTTTAGGTTCCAAAAGCACTTGAAGCACCAGTTATGTGCTTCTTCAAGGAAGCACTTTAAGTGATTTTCAAGAATTCACTTGCATTTTTAGTAAATATTGGTTCTAAAAACATTTTCACCAAAAACAATTTCAGTCATTTTAAAAGCATATTCAAACGAGCTCTAAGACTTGTTGCGAATGGTTAAGCGCTTTCATATAATAAAAAACATATGTGATAACATTTTGTAGAAAAAATTGAAAATAATCCTTGATTCAAAGACCTTGTAACTTTCTTACAAAAAGCGTTTATAAGTGATTTTTACATAAGCATTTTGAATTGGATCTTAAAGTCTGTTTAAGACGGTTTCTAGAAGGGCTAAACAACGATTTCTACCAACTAAACACACATGTGCATACTAACAAAAAAAAAAAACACTTGTGCGTTGTAATGATTTCCATACAAGTATTTTCAAATGAATTTGTGGCACACTCTCCCAAATATCAGAAAAGTCTTAAGTTCGAGTTACCTTCACGTAAAAAAAAAAATGAAAAAGGCTAATGATCAATCAAAATGTTAATGGGCTAATCCATAGCTGAAGATTTTCCAAATAAAGTAACGAAGGGCCCAACCTGGAATGCTGCTAATCAAATGTTACTAATACAAATTAGAACCTAAAAAAAGCAAGGAAAACAGACTATAACAGTTAACAGTGAAGGCAGAACTACATTCTTGTTTGCTTAGGAATTAAGTCAAAGCATGGTCAGTGCGGTACGGTGCGGTGCATAAACAGGTGTGCACCTGTGAATAAGAAACCATAACTACAACATTTCTCCTCAAGTTTTTATTCAAATAATAAAAGAGGGAAAAAAAAAGAAAGACCGACCAAAAGCGACAAAAGCTCAAGGGTTGTAAAAACAAAAAACTGCAGAGATCCTTGAACTCAAAGCTTGGACATTACCTACCTTTTGGCACACTTGTCTTTTAAGCAAAACTCATACCCAAAGAGGTCCACCGTAACACATCTGCCTTATCAAGGAACATCCCACGTTCTTTCTCTTTCCGCACTGCCTCTACTTGGCTGCACTGCATGCCAGGTTTGCCTAGATCACTGGAGAAACAAAGAAAAACGTCAGATGGGTTCGTTTCAGACGCCGATGGGAATGCGAAGCTCCACGCTTTTGGAAACTTCGTGCGGATACTTGCTTCAGGAATTGCAGGCAAGGTTTCGTTCTACATTATCGGAAGAAGCTCCTTAACTAATGCCTTTGAATGATTCTCGTTCTGAGACTTTTAAATTTCTGTTTTGTTTAACTTACATGAAAGCAGATGATTTGGAATGAAGTTGGGCAAGATCAGTTTGAAAGGGAGAAGGTGCTGCTGGATTTAGAGCAAGAATGTCTGGAGGTTTATAGGAAGAAGGTTGATGCTGCAAATACCTCGAGAGCTCGCTTGCACCAGGAGTTGGCTGAAGCTGAGGCTGAGTTTACCCATCTTCTTCTGTCGCTGGGCGAACCGTCTCTCCCTGGACGGGTACATCATTTAGCAATACCTGTTAACTCTGTAAAATTAGTATGACTATTAACATTGCATGCATGTTAATATAGAACTCATATACATATGTGAACTTTGAGGAAATATAAGAAATTCTTACTTTCTTGGGGTGATTCTTATTTTATCTCATCAGCCAGAAAAAATGGTGGGAACGCTGAAAGAGCAGCTGGATTCACTCACGCCGGCATTGAGGGAGATGAGATTGAGGAAAAAAGATAGGGTGAATAAGTTTCGAGCAGTACAAGGGCAAATTCAGAAAATTTCTGCAGAAATAGCAGGTCAGTCAGAGTACGGAGACTTATCATCAAATATTGTGGTGAATGAGAATGATCTTTCGTTGAAGAAACTAGAGGAGTGTCAGACGGAACTACAAACACTCCACAACGAGAAGGTACCATAATGTAGTTCAGAAATTGTTTCATGGACAACGAATAATATGTCCTTCTACATGATAAGTTCAAATCTCCTTCTTTGGTTTGTCTTGCAGAATGAAAGGCTCATGAGAGTCGAAAAATATATAGATGCAGTCCACAATTTGTCTTCGATATTAGGAACAGAAGCCTCAATGGTTATCACCAAGGTTCATCCAAGCTTGAATGAATTATGTGGGTTGGCCAAAAACATAAGCAACAATATTTTGGCTAAACTTAACAGCACAGTTGAATCCCTAGAGGAAGAAAAGCAAAAGCGACTCGAAAAGGTGACAATTACCTACGCAGTTGTACCAGTTCTCACTAAATATATCTTAGTTGTGAGAGATATAATTACAGAAAGAAATTCATAGAACTGACTAAGTAGCCTAAGTTATGGTAAACTCAAGCATAAATTCCATGGTTTTGGTATTTCAACTTCTCTCATTTTTCCTATTTTCGCATATTTTTCCATTTCAATATACAACTCTATTCTTCTGGGATTTTCAAGATACAATCTCACTTGTCAGATAAAGCATCAGTATCATATCTTTCTGTATATATTTTTTCAGCTTCACTATCTTGGCAAAGCATTGACGAACTTATGGGATCTCATGGACACACCCTATAAGGATCGTCAATCGTTTTCCCATGTCACTGGCTTATTATCACTCTCATCGGCAGAAGTATCAGATCCAGGAAGCCTGACCCTAAATATAATACAACAGGCAAGTATAAATTTTGATGGTAATTCGTTGTATCGGAAAAGAGTAATAACATCATTCAAATTCGTTTTAAAAGGCCGAAGCTGAAGTCAAGAGACTGGATCACTTAAAAGCAAGCAAGATGAAAGAACTATTTTTCAAGAAACAGAATGAGCTCAAGGAGATATGCAATAAATCACACATGGAGATTCCTTTGCAATCAGAGATTGATAATCTTATTAACCTCATCAACTCTGGTGTGACTCAGTGATTTTCATTTCTTTCGTAAGAAATAAGATGGTTTACTTTGTTTTATGGATAAAGTAGACTGTAAACTTAACTTGATGTACAACAGGGGAGATTGACCATGCAGATCTCCTAATGAGCTTGGATCAACAGATATCAAGAGCAAAAGAAGAAGCTTCTAGCAGAATGACTATCATGGAAAAGGTGGAGAAGTGGATGCTAGCACGTGACGAGGAGCGTTGGTTGGAAGAATACAGTAGAGTCAGTATATGGATCTTCATTTATAGTAGGCTCATACCTTTATATGTACACACATAGACTCCAGTTTTACTAATGAAGAGCACCTCTTTTAGGATGAGAACCGGTACTCAGTCAGCAGAGGTGCACACAAGAACCTGAGACGTGCAGAACGTGCCCGAGTATTAGTCAAAAAAATCCCAGGTAAATCCAAAAACTGTTTGTTAGCTATACGCATTCACATACAACAGAAGCAGGATTGTCATATGTAATAGGTCCAATCAAAGTTTACATACAAACACTAAACTTTGATGCCATACGTAACGCTAATAAGAATATCTTAGCCAGATGAGTTGCAGTTTCTCCCTAGGTATCAATCAAAGAAGAACGGAAATCTTTAATGTATGTGCCATGTTTTTGCATCACACCATTACTGAGATCCAATACAGATAAGTTTTCTCACAATATCATAAATGCAGCTTTGGTGGATTTGCTAATAACAAATACTAAGAGTTGGGAAGAAGAAAGAAAGAAAACTTTCTTGTATGATGAGGTACGTAAAGAATTGCTATGCCATACATACAATATGCTATACCGTATTGAAACGAAGTTTGTGTTCAACAAATTTCCACAATCAAAGAAAATCACTCAGAACAAGGAATAAATTGAAATTTCAGAACCTGAATTCAAGAGATTGGTGTTTTTGTTAGACTTTTTCTCCACTCAAACATAAAATCTTTTCTTTGTCGCTTGGTTCAGTGGACCTCAAACGTTAGTTGAATGCACATATATATGTTAAATGCAACCTCTTGTTTCATGAATATTACTGAAAATAGCCACGTACACATTAATCGATCTGATAGAAGATACAAAAGCTGAATGTAATATGGTTTAAGCCTTTAAGGATGACAAGAAATTATGGACCTAAGTGTCCCAGGGTTCTATGAATGTTGTAAGTTTTGTACTTCCACGGAATATCACAGTAGCTTCCATCTTTACACTGTATTTATTTGTCTTCAAAATTTCCATGCTTTCTCTCTCTGGTAGACTGGTAGTCCAAGTCAACTACAATTTCAGGGAAAACATGTCATGCAGGTACCACTCCTAGAAATGTTGGAAGAGTATAATGTGCTAAGGCAGGAAAAGGAGGAGGATAAGCAAAGACAACGGGTTAGTTTTATTTGACAATGCAATTAAAGGTTTATCAGACTGCAGAAACTGTTTTATGTTTGCAGTTTTCCAGTTAGACCTCCTAGATATTTGCATGTAACTCGATAGAATAATTTCTCATTCAATAATGGTCTATTGGCCTATGTATTACTTACCAATGTGATGAGGCAAGTTCTCCCTCACAGGAAGTGAAGAAGGTCCAAAGCCAAGTAGTAGTTGAGCAAGAAAATCTGTTCATAACCAGGCCAAGCACCAGTACAAGGCGAACTTCAAGCAGGACTTTGAACGGAGGTTTTAGCAACGCCATGCCTCTAAACAGAAGGCTTTCACTAGGCCTTCAGCAATTGGGACCAAACAGTGTAAACTCAGCCCCTCAAGGAATTTCCTTTATAAAGGAAGGCAAGAAGGTACACAGACAAAAGATGTTTGCTCGACCTGGCCTTGTTTCTCATCTTAGAGATGAAACAGCTTCAGTTATGTCAACGGTTTCTGGTCCACAATCTCCCTGAATTATGTCTGATTTGCCAATTGCCATGTCCTACGGGGAGGGACATAGAGGAGAAAGGCATGAGAGCTAGTAGCGCGGAAAGACCTAATAGATCATCCAGAAGAATAAGTTTAGTAGTTCAGCTAAAGAGACAGTATTTTAAGAATTACCCCTGTACCGGCAGAAGAGTCTAGAATTTTTAGACAACTGTAATTGCAAATAAAAATAAATAAGTTCTAAGATTGTTTTCTTATTACTACCCTGCACTGCAGGTTAGAAAAAGTAAAACATTAAGCAGCTTGCAAATCATGGGTTTCAGACTGTAATATTGCAAGGATTGTTGTGATTCTCATTTAAGCTATTCAATCAAGATTGGTAATACATACAATGTGTTTATCTCAACAGGACAAGAAAAAATTGCATAAAAAGACCAATCTAATTCAAAAATAAGAAATAAATGGAAAACAGAAAGCACAGAAAAAGGGTTGTCGGAATTTAGAACAATATAAAGCAATAATTGGGATATGAACACAAGCCAGAAAGTAAAGAACTTCTGTTTTGAACAACACAAAACATACATGGAAGCAGAATGGTAGAGTTTTTCCCCATTTCCTTTGAACAAGATTGGCTGTTATAAGTATGTAAGAAATGTAAGGACATGCCTTCTGCTTTTCGTCTCTTCGACTGTCATCAACAAAAGGTTTGTTCCTGTTGCTCATGCACTAATCTAATGCATTTGCTCCATTTACTATATCATGTACGTAGAAAAACAACAGGAAGCTCAATCACTTCTCATGAACAAAACTAAAAGATGAAATACCTCCTTCCTGTTTTGATACCCCACTTCTCGACGATGATCATGACAAGAAGCGAGCAGATTCAAATATCATACAAGACAATGAGAACAAAACTTGCATACACAACATTGTAATCAGTAACCACCAAGATCAAAATATCAAATGCATTCGATAATTAGATAAATAATTACAAAAGTTGTAATCAGTCTCCTGGTCCATTGATTTCTCACCATTACAACCTGACCAAACAAAATGTTTCTTTTTTCAACCTACAAAGACCGAAGATTTATGACTAGTTGATCTCAATTGGGGCTTCGTGGGCCTCAATTAGGGGTTCTTCATTCTCAATTGAAGCTTCGTCACTCTCGATTGGAACATCATCAACCTCAATTGGGGCATCGTCGGTCTCAATTGAGGCTTCGTCGATCTCAATCGGGGCTTCTTCTGTCTGGATCGGGGATTTTTTTGCCAGCTTGTGAAAGAAACCATCGATCCGACGAGTACCAGCTGGAGCTGGTCTATCGGCAGCGGTGCGGCTCCGGTCTCGTTTAGCTGGAGCTGAACTACTGACGACAGAGCGACCTTGACTCCGGTCGGTTGCCGGATGATCGGACGGCTGAGAGGGCACAGTAAGCTCATCGATTAGGAAATCACATGTCGGGCGGTGCCTCTTGACTGCGACTCGCATATGCTCGAGCTTCACGACCTTGCGCTTCCTCTCCGTCGCGACCTCCGCCGACCGCTCCGCTAGGAATTCGAGGAAAAGCTGGGCGGAGCACGAGACGAGTAGTAAGGCTTCCGAGTTTATCTTGTTAATGTCCCTGTCCAGCTTCATTATCCTCTTGACCCGACCGTTCGGAAATTCGGGTCGGATCCGATTCGCGTTCCGTTCTTCTGCTACTGCCTTCCCTTTTCCTTTTGCTGCCTTCTCTTTTTCCCGTGCTGGGTTCTCTTCTTCTTCTTCTGGTACTGGGTTCTCTTCTCCTTCTGGTACTGGGTTCTCTTCTTCTTGTTCTCCTGCTGGGTTCTCTTCCTCTTCTCCTGGTACCGGGTTCTCTTCTTCCTGTGCTGGGTTCTCTTCTTCTTCTGGTACTGGGTTCTCTTCTCCTTCTGGTACTGGGTTCTCTTCTCCTTCCGGTACTGGGTTCTCTTCTCCTTCTTGTGCTGGGTTTTCTTCTTCTCCTGCTGGGTTCTCTTCCTCTCGAGCTGCGATCTCTTCTTCTGCCATTGATGGCAGCGAAGCTCTGGTCCGGAATGAGTGGTGGAAAAGGGGAAATACGATGTTTAGGTTTTTGAATTGGCGGGAAATATTCAGTTGATAAGTTTCGGATGGACAATTTTGTCGTGACAGTTGATAGATCTTTGCAACTTTAATCAAAGGCTACTTGGGCAAAAACGTTTTCTACCCGCCATGCGAAATGTCGTTCCCGCCAAAAGAGAGTTTTTTTTTTTATTAGATGTGGTGGAACCCCCACCTGTTAGCCCACGAATGAGCCCACTTCACCACCAAGAAGGCTCAAGAAACATCGGTTTGAGATGGTGAGCTTAGGAAGAGGGCCCATATAAGGAGGAGGAGCAACCCAAAGAGGGGGGGCCCTAAAAAGAGACAAAAGGGCTTGTGAATTGCCCTTAACCTCAACAAGGTATTCGGATTTTAACACTATGTTTAGACGAGGGAAATAAACATGGAATTTTGGTAAAAGTTAGGATTTATAAATTGACAGACACTAATTCTCTTGTTTGGATTCATAAACATAGAAATTTAGGATTTATGCGTGGAAAAAAAACTTGGAATTTGGGACCTCCAAATCCCAAGTTTAAATTCTATGTAAATAAGTGTCATTTCTCAATTTTTATGATTGAGAGTTTAAAAATAACAAATTCCATATTCAATTTCATTATTCTTTTAGGTTAACCAAACAAGAAAATTTACAAATTATAGAAAATAAAATTTCATCATTTCAATTTCCGTCATTTTTAAATTCCTTAATAATCTTAAATTTCTTCACCCAAACATAGTGCACTTGAAGTGAATTTTGTAAGAAGCACTAGTTATGTGCTTCTAGTAAGAACAACTTTCAAGTGCTTCTTAGGAGAAACTTGCATTTTTACTAAGTGGTTTCAAAAACATTTTCTCTGAAAACGCTTTTAGTCATTTAAAAGTATTTCCAAACGAATCGTAAATGCTCTTGTTTCACTTCAAGTGCTTATTAGGAGAAACTTGCATTTTTACTGAGTGATTTCAAAAGCATTTTCTCTAAAAACGCTTAAAATCATTTAAAAGTATTTCCAAGGGGACCGTAAATACTCTTGTTCTCCCGCAAGGCTTGAAATTGCTGTAAGACGGGTCACATGACCCGCGAGGCCAAGTGATAGATAACACACGTGTCAACCGCGAAATCCTGCCGTGGTGTGTCGCGCTCGCGAAAGCTCAAAGTTGTATAGTGTATACTATTCTTCCTCCTCCCATCCAAAAAAAAAGTACAAACCCTAACTCTCTGCTCTGAGCCAGAGAGTGAGTCATACTAACCTATTTTGCACCAAAAATCGCCGTCAGCCGCCATGCAGTTCTCCCAGGAAGACTTCGATCGCCTCTTGCTCTTCGAGCACACTCGCAAAACCGCCGAAGTTAACTACGCCAAGAACCCTCGCGACGCCGATGTTCGGACTCTCTCCTCCTCTCTCTCTCTCTCTCTCTCTCTCTCCATCTTTCTCTCTCTCTCTCTCCATCTTTCTCTCTCTCTCTCTCTCTCTCTCCATCTTTCTCTCTCTCTCTCTCTTTCAATTTTCACCTGGCTTGGATTAACCGTGGTGTTTTTTACCGCAGAATTTGACGAAATGGGGAGGAGCGCTGCTCGAATTGTCGCAGTTTCAGAGCATTGCGGATTCGAAGAGCATGATTACTGGTAATTTTTTATTATTTTGTTTTCATAAACCCTAATTATTAGTTGTTATGGTGTTTTTTTCCCATTCAATTTTCTATTTTCGATTGCAATTTGTGTTCTGTAATGAGTATTCAATTGAACGTGAAATTTTGGTTAGATTGCATCTCGAAGCTGGAGGAGGCTTTGCAGATAATTCCCACGAAGCACGATGCTCTGTGGTGCCTAGGAAATGCCCACACCTCTTTTGCATTTCTGACCCCTGATCTCGACGAGGCAAGGCCTTATTTCGATAAGGCCACTGAGTTTTTCCAGAGGGCGGCCGATGAGGTTATATATTGGATATCCGAGTTTTTATATTATATTATACTTGAGCATTCTAGAGTCAGAGAGAGGATTGACAGCGGGTTTGATTTTGTAGGACCCCGGTAACGAGCTTTATCAGAAGTCCTTAGAAGTTACATCTAAGGTATTGCTATTGTTATTCCACTTGGCAGGGTATTCTGTTAGTGATTTATAGTATTGTATTGTGTAACTTTCGTAGATTGACCTCGTACATTGCTTGGCTACCTTAGAGATACTTGAATTTAACGTTAATATTTTGGTTGATTGGAATGTTAAATATTTGGTGGCCTAGTATGTAATACAACGGCATGACAAATTTAGTAGGTAATAAAGTTAAAAGGAGGGGGCTTTGTAGACTTATGATAATTCAAACTTTAAAACTATTCATAAATGGTCCACTTTGGGCTATGACAATGTTTAGAAAGGGTCACGGATGCTAAATTGCACCCATACATGGATATATTTAGTTGGTTACGGGTATGGCTGGGCAGAAGTTTCATTTTACTTTAAAAGTATATATGTATATCTAGTTGGTTATGGGTATATGGCTGGGCAGAAGCAATCATGTTTTGTAAATTTGATAACTTTAGGACCTTCTATCCAGCTGAGTACCAACAACTTACTTTAGGAGATTGTTGTCGTAGTTGGTTTAATACACATTTTTATGTATTGAATTTACATTGCAAGTGCAACAGAGGTAATTGTTGATCATGTATCCATAGGCACCAGAATTGCATATGGAAATCCATAAGCATGGACTGGGACCGTTGGGTCAGCAAACTCTGGGTGGGGGACCTGCTCCTTCATCATCCAGTACAAAGGTTAGATTCTCAATTTATTTCTTTATTCTAAGTGCAATACGTTCCAACATCAACATGTTGTTTGTCGCAAATGTTTTTGTGTTTGGTTTTTAGCTGTCCGTCATGTAATTGATATTGAATCATTGATATTAAATTTCCTTGTATTGAGATGTTTAACAACTCTCTTATATTGTCATTCAACTTATTATTTGGTTAGGAACCTGCTGCTCAATTACTACTACAATTCTATTTAAAGGTTGTAATATGTATATTTCTGGTTGATTGCGAACTATCGTGCTTCCAGATATGTATATGTTATAGAATGGTTGAAGTCTACATATGTTACGTTCAAATAGTAACCGTCGGTTAACACTGCTGCCCCATTTAGAAGTGTGATTGACAAGTATATTGCTCTTCTTTTTGTATCAAATTACACTGTATTTGCCTTGTCACCAGTCATATGGGATCTGATTGGTTTAACAAATTATAAGTTCCGAAACTACTGTTGGATTTTTTTGTTAATTCAGTTATGTCATACTGTATTCTCGTGATATGAATACGTTACTGCTACCATAAAAGACATAAAGGTTATGGAGCATGGCACATGGCTTTCAATTTTGACTGGATGTGGTTAGGGTTAGAATCACACACACACACACACACACAAAGACCATTAGATAAATCGTGTCTAACTATAGATAGCACACATGAATGAGCACATAATATCACTATAATATTAGCTTCTTTATTTGGTTTCGGTTACTTGTAGCATCTTTTCCATATTTTGAAACTAGCTTGAAGGCATATTTATTAGTGCATATATAAGTTTCTTTAGGATAGTTTACATTTCTCAGTGTGCAGATGCAAGAATGCTTCAGTTTTCTCATAGGAACTTCTAATTAAATTGTTTATTTATCCCAGAGTTCTAAGACCAAGAAGAGCAGTGATCTGAAGTATGACATATTTGGATGGGTTATCCTTGCTGTTGGCATTGTTGCATGGGTTGGAATGGCAAAATCCCACATGCCGCCACCACCCCCAAGATAAGCTTTATTTAGAATAAGACGGAAGTAACCCTGCCAGTGCATTTGGTTGAAGGGTAATATTTTCTTTAAGATATCCATCTGGTTGAGCTGTAGTAATTCAAGTAAATCATGTGGTATGTTGACTACATGTTGATTTTGACCATAACTTTTTTATGTTGCTATGATAATTAGAACATCATTTTTTATATGAATTATTGTTTGCTCTTGCAAATATTGGATAGTCTGTTCATTGGTTTGCTTATGTTCCCATCGACCTACTTATTTTACCTTGCTCTTTAGTACTCTTTATAGGTTTTCTCAGGGTTTGTAATTTTTTTTTTGGTGGTGTAATATATCCGTAAGCTAGGGAGGTCTGGTCTAGAATTTTGTCTTTTATTATTAGTTCTGAATTAGCCAACCTTTTAAAACATGTAATTCTAGCCAGCTTCACTGAAGAATAACAGAATACCCTTAATCTGATAACTCACCATCTCTCATAAGTCAGAACCCACACACAAACAAGTCAAAAGAACCTCAATCTTTGGAATGTGTGCTGAAGGCCCTTCACTGACATAATCTCTGCCTAAAAATTTGAATTGAGTTTGTATGAAAATTGGCAGCATGTTTCAAGGATATACTCAGCAGCATGACGAGTTTTCCACAATCAACGCTCTTCCCCTCCCTCCATTTGTCTTATTTTTTTTGGCATTAGTGTCGTGGTCATTGTACTAGTGGAACAGCACCAAAGTTAACGGGTAGTAACGGAGTTTGCTCTCCTCTTTTTATGGGTCATCTGGCTAGCAAAAAGTTTTGAAGCAATTGGTGAATGATGTCAATGGAGTTTTCAGTCCCCCCTCTCTCTCTTGCATGAGACAAGGGGAGAGAGAATTTGGGGTTTGGTTTTGGTTCTTTTGGAGATTTAGGAAATTTAGACTTAAATGCAGTTTTTTTTACCTTCTCCAGGTAATCCAGGATGGTTTAGTTCCCAATTGGTAAAAGTTGGTTATTCTTTAAACTGTTAAGGGACGTAGCTATTTTCTCTTTAAATAAGTGGAGTTCAGGCCTTTTGTATATAACTCTTTCGTTTAACTTGTAGTAATGTTTCACCTCAGGTTAATAAGGAAACAAGCTTATATTTGTCAAGCTATTGTTTGAAGCTACCAGTCGTCTTCTTAGGTTCAGACTTCAGACATACATAAAAGTTGAGTGAAAACCTGGGAATGAAGAGTTGTCTTTCATTATTACTTTCCATTTAAAAGAAAATATAAACTACTCCACTTGAATTTTCTGCTGCTAATGTAATTTTAGTATTTTACTAAGATGGCTCAAACAATCTGGTGTTGCACATTTTGATTTTCCACTAATGGATCAATTATTAACCCGGAAACTAATTATTAATATATCATCATTGTTAAGTGTCTAAAGCATATAATTTGGTAAAATACTAAGTTACTTTTTTATGATGAGCTTGATGCAATCATGATAGAACTAAGTCTTATTTTAAAAGAAGTTGGAATTAATGGAAATCATGTTTTGTGCAATATGATTTATTCATGAAAGATAATAATTATAATGCACTCTGACATATTCATTATAATCTTTCAAGATGAGATGTTCCTCTACATGAATGATTAGATGTTTTCTTAGAAAGAAAATTGAGCATGTGAAAAAAGTAATCTTGTTATTCTTTTTGGAAATACATGGACTACACAAATAAACAGGTGCGCTAAACCATAAGTGGTAAATATAATATACACGTAGGGAGGCTGCCACTTGCTAGTGGTAAATATAAAACTAGGGATTCAGTTGTTAAACATCTTTAATGAGGGGAAGTATAATATTGGTCGGATATATTATCTCAAGGCCATTATTTTGTTCTGAACGTCCTCTTATAGGCTAAGAGTACGCCTCTCATGTTTTACATTGTAAACTCTTATACAGGCACATACTAGCATGTTCACTTTGATCATTGGACCATTAGAAATCTCCCACTTCCATGGAAATAGGGTTCTTATGCTTTTCTTACCAGTTATTTGACTCATCATGTGTAAGACCAAGCCCTGGAAGCTAAAATTACAGGTAGAAATATGTTGTGTGCTTGAAAACTTAAAGTTAGCTTCGTAAACAGTTCTTTTTACTTGCAAATCTCAATCATTTTTTAGCTATAAATCTATTGTCTCAACAGTCAACACTCAAGTATCCTCAATAATTGAGTTGACTACAATGCGGACCGAGTTAATGATAACTTCTACTCGGGATAAGACTTATTAGGGCATATCTAGTACAGGAAATGATGTCTGAGAAAAGTAGTGAGGCCAAATCCTTTGAAATAAAGCAGTGGATAATCTATTGAGACCTATTTTATTTCTGATTCTCTTTCTTTTGGTTCTTGGTTTGGTCACTGTGGAACCAATTTTGTTGGGAACACAGCTTTTTTCAGTAAATATCTTATTTTTGTACATTCAGTTTTTTATATTAACAATCATTGACCTTCAAAGTAATGATTCTCTTAGTTTAAACTATAATAAGAACATTTTGAGCCCCAATCTTTATGAACTTTGATGTTCTTGTCCTCATAAATTTGCAGTTCTCCGACAATGTTCTAGGCTTGGGAAATTGTAACTCTTTGTTAGGCAAAGTGTAAAACTCTTTGTAAACCTAACACCGTCCTTTATTTATTTTGTCATATCTAATTCTGGTTCGTGTTTTGTGGCCCTAAAGTTGTTTATAGAGGTAATTGGAGCAATGGTCCCTAGACTTTAGCTCACTTGAGGTTTTGGCTAACTCCGTTAGAACTTCCATTCAAAATAAAAGGTTTAAAGGGACAAAAAATGAATGGAAGTTCTAATAGAGTTAGCCAAAAGGACCATTGCTCCTCATTATAACAAGTTCATGGACCACTACTCACAGATTTTTAGTTTACAGACCAAAGCTCCAATTGGGCCAAAGTTCAGGGACTATTGCTCCAATTTTCTCCTGTTCATATTGTTTATCAAATGTCAATGTCATCTAATATTTTGAAGGAGGCCATTTGCTTGCAGTTCTGATGACAGAGATGAAATTGTTTTCTTTTTGTGCGAGAAAAATTAACTAGGGTCAAACTCTCTGAGCCAAACGTTTTATCATAGAGATAGGAGTAGACTATCCCTTTTACCTCACTCGAAAAATAGTCATGTTGGGAAGCCTAATAGATTAACTGGTAAAAAGTCTTTGAAAGAACTGGGTTGAGTGATTGAAGCGGGGTGCCTGTAGGGATGATTTGCAGAATCCAGGATGCATTATCGTGTTTAATTATTAAAAAAAACTTCACCCCTTGTCGGTATCAAGGTTGTTTCCTTCTTCTGTATGACCTGCTGCCACATTCTATTATTGGTATGTAGTAGTGCTACCACATTCCATTATTGGTATGTAGTAGTGGGTAAGGTGTCATATACGCATTGGACACCTTGCCATTAGTGGAAACAAAAGATGCTCTCTAGACTATAATATGCTTTTAGTCCTTAATATATCTTGGCTGGTTGTTGCGTAGATGCTAGGAAAATACTTTGATAATGTTAAAAAGCAGCAATGGTTAGCTAAGTGTTCCACTTTGGTTGCATTTTTTAAGGGTTTATTCTAAGAGATCCTCCCAGAAGAGTCTGGCTAGTACTGGGGAGAGCCCTACAGGACTATGGAAAATATAGTTTCTGTCGCAAAGACTCCCTACTTCTTGTGTCCTCTTTGATTGATCCCCATTGGTTGAATACCAATTGGTGGTCTGTGTCTGAGATTTAATTCTTTTAAAACACTGCTCATAGTTCAATATATTTTTCTCTTTTCACCTATAAGGGAGTTATTAGGTTGCTCAAGTTGTATTGATTTGTTTATCATCGGCCTGTCGTGCTTTGAGCAAAGTAGAGTCCTCATGATCATTAATAATTCATAGTTTAATGAGACTTTGATGGAGGAGAGGCTTCCACGCCCCTTCCCTCGGTGTTGTGGGATTTTAATTTTACTATCTTTATGGTCATTTGCTTTGCCTCCTTTATAGTTTATTGTTGATAGGCCCCAGTGATATCGGGTGCTTTTGGATTGAGAGCAACCTTTAATCTGATTGGTAAATCAAGTATTGGATGCTAGCGTCGGCTAAATTCTCTTGAAAGTCGGTTGAGATAGTACATTTTCGTATATATTTTGATGCAAATGGGTTGTATGCTTTCTGTATTTGGTTGAGGGAGGGCTTGTCTTTCTGGCTTTGGATTTTAAATACTAAAGCTGGTTTTGATATGTGATTAGTTTACTTAGTATGTGGTTTGGAAGCCTTTATATTGCGCGTGCAGGAATTTGGGAATTAAATTAAGGGGGGAATATCTCTTTTGTGTGTACTTTGTGAATCTTTTACAAAATGATCTGTGAAAACTTGCTCTTTCTGCATCCGTATTCCACGGGAACTTATCATGCTTGTATTGTACTGAATGGTTAGGCTGCAACGGAATTGAAATTGCATCAATTTGTTGTGAGGTTTTGTTATAGATTTTGCGAGACATTGTGCATACTTTTTAGCCGTGGTTTTTAGATTGTCAATCTGGATCATTGATTTTGCGAGTTTTCCCGTAATGGTGAGACTTATTAACAGTCTGAACGACATAACATGCTTCGGAAATTGTGCGTTGCATGCTTGTATCGATACTGGGTCGGATAGTTGGAATGGTCATCTGTATCAGGTTGAATGCTGGGCTCCGACTAAGAAAGGGTTAAAATCCTGCTTGAATTACCAATCCATTTCCCTACCATCTTTCACTGCCCACAATTTTATGTTCGTCCCAAAACATAATTTTGGTCTCAATTGAGTTTTTTTTATTGTAATTATATGTAATACTTAGGAATGTTGCTTTCTATGTAAACATCATAGCACACGCGTAGCCCCCAATGAGAGAAACATTGGTAGAGCTGCCTTAGTTTCCAACGGAATCAGAATTTTGGTATTGCTTGCAAGGAGTAGGCGCTACTCATGGATATAGGGAGCGGCGTGGGATTAACCAGGATCAAAATACAAGCAATGTTTTGTAAGAGGTGTCTTGTAAATAACGTGGTTGGAAACGATTCGGTGGTGGCATGTGCATCGAGCTGCAAAGAATCATCCGGAAAGCCTCGGTGGTTCGCAATTACTTGGGTAATTTAGAGTTGAGGCGTAAAATTTTAGATTTGGTCTCAGAAATCAGAATCAGCCGGAAGCACACGGGCTCTTTGCGA